TTGCGGAATGCCCTTGCTGAGCCATGGGGGTTTCTGAGCACTCTTACCCTCCTTGCTTCTCTCAGGGACTGTTACCCTTTGGGCCTGAAGGATCGCCCCCTTAAGGTACGACCATCCCTCATGGATTCCCATCTCTTCTACCTTCTGGGCCTTCAGTGTTGCCCCCACTAATCTCCGAAGCTCATTGAAGTTGGCCCTTCTGAAGTCAAGGGCTTTAGTCCAACTAGAGGTGCACCGATATATTAGTTGCATGTCGGATCGGCACCAATAAAGGGAAAATTAACGTTATTGGCTATTGACTTTTTTCACCAGTGTAGCCAAGAATATCACCAATAAAAACAATATGACTTCTGGTTGTGGTCCCTGGACGCCACATGCATGCATGCAGCCACACACAGAAATGCAGCCTGGCAGTGTAGACAGCAGTGCCCTGCAGGTAAGTCTATGGAGGGGAAGGGTCAAGGGGAGGGGTAGATCGAGGCCCCCACAGTGAGGGAGGGAGTGGGGCAGGGGCTGGGAGCACTGCCCAGCCAGGGCAGTGAGTGGGACCCAGGGTCAGGGCAGGGAGCAGGATGGAACCATGGGCAGCTCATCCAGGGGGCGCAGGGGGGAGGAGGGTGGCTTTCTGCTGTTGTACAGAACCCCACTGTGGGAGGCGTGCGGGGGCATGTGTCCCCCCAGATTTGTGTGCAGGGTGGATGAGTGCTGCCTGCTGTGGGCTTGGGGCTCTCTGTTCTTCTGCCTTTCCCTTGGGAGCCCCATGCTGGCTGCGTGTCTCCTGCCCACCTGGCAGCAGTGGGGGTAGTGAGTTATGCCTCCCATTTTTGAGTGGGCAGAGGATGCATAGCTACCATGGGGCTCCCAAGGGAAAGGCAGCAGGGCGAAGAGCCCCAAGCCTATACCAGGCAGCCCACATCTGCCCTCCCCTCTTCAGTACTTGAACTAAAGCTCACTTGACAAGCTTTAGTTCAGGTATTGCCACCACCATTTTTAAGCGCAGGGACATTGATCCCCTGGATGAGCTGTCTGCAGCTCTGTCCCCCGGCCCAGCCCCAGGTCCCATTCACCATTGGCTGGGCAGTGCCTCCAGCCCTTGCCGCACTCCCTCCCTCACCATGGGTGCCTTTATCTGTACCCACATGCCGTTTCCTTCCCCCACACTCCTTCTGCTCCACAGACTTACCTGCAGGGAGCTGCTCTTCTCGCTGCCCAACTGCATTCCTGTAAATGGGTTATTGGATCAGTATTGGCTGATATGGCTGGTTAATAATTGGCTATTGGTATCAGCCAAGAAAATCTTTATCGGTGCACCCCTAGTTCCAACACAGTGACTAGGGTTGTGGTCAAGCAGATGCTTTACACAGCCCATAACACTACTAACATTAGGAGCCCCATGTACTTTAAATGCTGTTGGGGCCAGGAACAGAGAGAATGTAATGACCTGGGCTGGAATTTAGCCTGGTCATTTGAAAAGGGGCTAAGTCTGGCCTCATGGTTAACCACCCCAGTCTGGGCAGAAGTCCCATGGCATCAGAGCATGTGAGGATTGTCAGAACAAGGGCTGATCAAAAATGTTCTCTTCAAGCCATTTTTCAATAGAAGATTGAGTTTTCTATGAAGCAAACCTTTTCACACATACAAAAAGTCTACTTTCTATGGAAAACATTCACTTTCTGTTGCCAATCTGAATACCTAAAAACAAAAAATATAATTTTCTGGCCCTCCAAAAATTAAAATATGCTGATGCTGAAGTGCTCCTGTGACACCTCATAGGAGCTGCAGTCCAGTTGCCTCATTTCCCTGTATTTTCTAGCCAGCTCTAAACATAGTAGCATGTC